TTGTTTGGCGGGTCCGGGCTGGGGATTCGAACCCGCCACCTTAGGTGTACATGGCTGGCGCCTTAGCCGGTTGAGCTATAGGCACCGAGCCTAGAGCTTACTTTTGAAAAGTCTTTTGTCTAAAGTGGTTCTGCAACCTGCATTAAAGCCCAGATGTACTTCCTACCTGATTTTCATTTTTCAAGTTGTTATTGTCTTCTCTAATATCTCCTTATGCCAATTTCCTCCAAAAATCAAACACTTAAAGAAGCCAGACAAGTGATGTACATGAGTGAGAGAGCCAATAGGGAGTGGTGGGGACTATGGCAAAGTAGACATTACCCCCCCCACACACACACACACCTACAGGAGCAGCATCCACTCAGCCCCAACCAATGATTACCTCCTGGCCCAGTGCTTCCAATTTTCAAGAAAACACCAACATTTGGATTTTTTTCCTGTAAAACTTTCTATTTTCTGGGGAAAAAAAGTCCTTCAAAAAGGATTGTATACGTTCCTATATTATAGAGATACATAAGGAAATGTTTGTCATGGAATGATATATCTGGATTTGCTTCAACTATCTGGGAGTGGAAAGGGAAGTAGGTGAAAGGCATAGATGGAGCAAGATAGGGCAAGAGGTGATGATTGTTGAAGCTGGGTGACGGCTCTGTGTCTCTTGATACCATGTCTGAATTTCCTGCAATAACAAGTTAAAATAAACACTGCGTAGGCCGAACAAGAAATGCCTACAAGCCAAATTCAGTGCACTAACCACTTCTCTCTGTACTCTTGAGTTGTATGACCATGGAGAATCCTCAGAAACCCAAGTCATCACCCAGCTTCAACCCTTGGAAACCTAAGCCCAAGAGCTGGAGATTGCTGTAAGCTATGATGCCACTCTATTGAGGGCAACAAAGTAAAACTCTGTCTCAAAAAAAAAAAGAAAAAGAAAAATATGTTATTTTATACAATAGATTCTACGAAGGCTTAAAAAGAAAAGTGAAAGGAAGAAGGGAATTTTTTCAGCACTGATATGAAATGATGCCATTTGTTTAAGAAATGGGTGGTGGCTTGGCGCCTGTGGCTCAAGCGGCTAAGGCGCCAGCCACATACACCTAAGGTGGCAGGTTCGAATCCCCAGCCCGG